CGCGCTCGAGAGTGCCCAGCTGGGAAATGCAGCTCAGAATTAACTTCGTATGTTTCATAATCAGTTTACGGGCCGATTTGGGGAAAGCCACTTCCAGATGGGGAAGAGCAGCCCCGGGTTTCCTTTAGGACGCTCTTCAGCCTGATTGGGGCGGGGAGAAGGAGATGAGGGGGCCTAGGGGAGAAAAGGGAGAGAGGTCTGCTCTCCCAACCAAAGAAACCGGAAAATGGTGCCCCCCCCCCAAACCACCACCACCCCTGCCTGCGGCCTCCTCCTCAGATTCAGAGAAGGAATGGAACTCCGGAGGAAAGAAGAGGTTCTGGGTCCCATCCTTCTGGGAGAGAACACGTTCCCTGCCCTTCTCACAACCTCCCCCCAAATTGATTTTTTTTTTCATTCTCCCCTCCTGCCCCCATGCCCGGCAGCTGCTGTGGAGGGAGGGGACAGGAAGCCCAGAGGGACTCCAGTTTCTCTGGGTCCTTCCTGGTCTGGGGTTGTCGGCCACTTCGCGATCGCTGCACCAAGAGCCTGGCCTTGGAACGCTGCCACCCCGCCTCCAGTCTAGCCTCTCCAGCCCCACTTAGATATAGTTTAGTCAATTCCGAAAGGCAGGGAAGTGGGGAGAGGACAGGACGAGTTGAGTTCTTGGCAGGGCCAGAGATGCACTGGCTCCCAAGCCGCAGCTGTGCCCCAGAGTCCAGGTCTCAGGGCCTCGGGCGGCGAAGGTTCCTTTCGTGAAGAATTTCAATGGCAGGAGTTGGCCTTGCAAGCTTCCCCTGACATTCCTGCCCACTGGTGACTTCCCCACCTGTAGGCGGCGGCGGAGCTAGGCGAGTGCGGGTGGGAGGAGCGGGTTTCCAAAATCCCATTTTACATTTCTGATAAGCGTAATTCTGTCGCGCTGTGCCGCCCAAAGCCCCAGAGAGAGCCCCTTCTTCGGGAAAGGAAAGAAAGGTGAGCCTCCTCCAAGAGGCGGAAGAGCCCTGCCTGGAAACCATGGTAAAAGGGATAGAGGGGACCCAGGCAGCGCTGAAAATGCTAAGGGGCTCTGGAGCATGCCGCGACTTTTCCCGGAGAGCCAGTCCTTTGGGTCCAGACACCTCCGGGCTTCTTGGAGAGGAAATGCTTATGCATTCTCCAGCGCCAGCTAACCAGGGCTCCGCACCCGTGGCCCAGTCCTCCCGCAAAGCACCGCAAAGCTGGGGGCGCATCCTGGAGAATGGAAATCTGGGGTTTCCCCAGCCTGGGAGATAGAATGCTCAGTCTCCCTCCCCACCCCCGACTGAAGTGTCAAGTTTCCTCCAGGGGAGGGGGTGAGCTACAAGGTCTGCTTTCCCGCGCGGCCCAAGCTGCAAATTCTACTTTGCTCCACCGCGGCCAAAGCCGCGCGCGCGCGCGCACACACACACACGCGCGTAACACGTTCACCCTCAAAGCACATTTACACACTCACACTCGTGCACAGACACACAGGTTCCGACGTGCTTTTGAGTCGGTGACCCAGATCTCTGCTGGCTGCGCGCACTTTTGGAGCTTCGCTACGGGCGGGGCGCGTGGGGCGGGGCACCGGCAGAGGAGAAATTGATAACAGATTCGGCGGATTACAGTGGATCTCTTTGTTAGAGCCGAAACCCCACAAACCGAACCTATTTGTGGCCTGACGCCCCGGGACGAGTCCACCAGTTCCCAGAACCGGGGCCAGCTAGGAGTGGAGCCATCCGGTCTCCAGACTCGGGTCTCTCTAGCTCCAGGGTAAGGTAGGCTGGGGTGTCCCAACCGGGATCGAACAGGAGAGCCCCAGCGAGTAGCGCCTCCACTTAACCCCGCGCTCTTGCCCGGAAACACCTTGGCCTTCTTCCCGCTCCAATTGCATCACAACCCAGAAAAGGCCCCACAAGTTTGAAAGATTCGAGGAACCCACAGCGAACTCACTAATAAATACATCCACTCTGTAGGGTAAAACATCCCCATCTATTTACCAAAAGATCTGATCCGAAAAGACAGTACGAAATGAGACTTCTCAGGAGACTGTCACACCAGGGATAAACAAAAGTTCTGGTCAGAAGAATGAGCTAAATGTTTTCCAACAGAGGCCCAAGGAAGCCGACACTATAAGGACCCTGGGAAGCTGTTCCTCCTATGCACCCAGAGGAGGGTTGGGGGCATTTGCCAGGTTCAGCGCAAGGGTGGGGTAAGGTGAAGGGAGGGCGTTCCTTCCAATCCAGAGTAGCTCTATCTATGTCATGGCTCCCGCATTAAGTCTCTCCCCCAAAGTTTCCTCGTTAGATCAAAGGTGTCAACTGTGGGGGATGTTGAAGGGTAAGGGAAAGTAAGTTTTGATGAGGAAAACTGATCAGAGGATGTCCCCGGACTCCAGCCAAGGAGCTTCAGAACGCGCGCGCAAACGCGCCCAGCACCCTAGAGCAGCCACAGGCGGTGACTGCTCAAAAGAAATGACAAAAAGACTGGGCACGGTCTCCGAACCTCCTCCACTGGGCCCATCACCTCAGTCGGTCTGGGCATCTCCTTCTACTAGATTGTACATCTAGGGCCCAAGTCTGGGAGTGGAAGTGATGAGGGACGCCAACTAGGCGGAAGAAGTGAGTTTGACTCGGGCTCCCGGTGACGAAAAGGAAGATGGGAAACTCCAAGAAGAAACTCGGCTCTCGGTGGGGGAGAAAAAAAAAAGCAACTGTTTTCCTCACTCTATTTTCTTCCAAAAGCAAGAAGAGAAATGAAAAAACTTGCAGAGAAAAAAACTTTGTTGCAACCACAAACCTGGGACATCCTGCCCAGGGAGAATGCGAAGAAGAAAGAGAAGAGATGTGATGCGAAAGAATGGGCCGACCAAGGCCAGCAGGGGGTCCGCTTTGGGGGCATCAGACGAAGGAGCCCTTGCTCCCCATGCCCTGTGATTAGGAGCAGGGGAACTACAGCCATCCCACGCAGCCTGGGGTAAGTATTCTCACAGCGCTGTGTTGTGTGCAGGCGCACAGCCGGGGTAGGGAATAGCCAGGGAAAGAAAGCAGAGGTAGCTCCTGGAGCAGGAATCAGTGCAAAGAAGGTGAACATCCTTTGACCACCCTGGTCTTAGAACCGATGGCAGGTCAGGGGACTGGAGGCTCCAAGAGAAGAAATGTCTGTCCTAGCTCTCCTATTTTTTGCCATACATGCATCCCCTCCACAGGACTCTTCAGACCCCAACACACACACATACATACATTATTCCTCCTCCTCCTCCTCCTCCTCCTCCT